ATAAAATGCCTTTCTCAGAGAGTCAAGGACATCTTGCCCTGCACCTGGAGTGGCGTGACTGGGAGGCATCTCCAGTTGGGACAGTGCCTGATTGGATCATGTGGGTGCTGGGCAGGGACTTGGGCTTTCATTTGGGTGGGGAAAACCTAGAAGCTTTCAGATTCAAGTTTTCCCAGATGTGCCAATATGGCATCTCTAATTAAATGGAACTTTGAGGAAACTTGAGCCTCGGAGTCTTCTTTCATTGGGGGTGTTACTTGGAACCCTGACAACCTGTGTTATCAACCAAAGGATATGGAAACCATTTTCTCCGATCATTTTGAAATCATCTAAAAGGTGGATGATGTAATCGCTGCCTCGGTCTTTCCTCCTTTTGCTGTTCACCTGCCGAAAGAAGAAGAAGAAGAAGAAGAAGAAGAAGAAGAAGAAGAAGAAGAAGAAGAAGAAGAAGAAGAAGAAGAAGAAGAAGAAGAAGAAGAGTAGTGAACCCAACAAAAAAAGCTACAGTCTTTTCTCTTTGTCATCCTAGAATTCAAAGCAGGGAATTGCTGCAGGCTTAGTTTACCGGAAGAGAGATTTGATTGAGGGTTAAGAAAGGCTTCTGGAAATGTAAGAGCAGCTTAGCAGGGAAAGTAAGTACCAGAGAGGTGGTGGATTTTACTCTCCTGGATGTGTTCCAGCAGAGGCTAGATAGCCATCTGTTGGGGATGCTTTAATTTAAATTCCTTCACTGAACAAAAGGTTGGACCGAATGACTCCTGCCAGCCGTATAATTGTACAGAATTTATGCAAATCACTCATTTTTTTTAAGAGTGTCTTGAACTTTCCTAGTTCTGCAGTTTAGGGATAATTGGAATCTAGATTTATATACACCAGCAGGCAGTGGAGCAATCCAGCTTGTTCTTTATGGAGCACCAAAAAGGTGGGCCTGTCCTTTTCATGCCGAGCTACCACTTAAGGCACACTGACTGAAGTTGCTGTAAATTATAAATATCTGGTTGGCCTCCGATGTTCTATAGGCCTCCACTGGAGAAGAGTAAGTGCCTGTCTCGACAAGCAGTGTGAATCAAGGCGGGATGAACAAGCAGGAATATCGGGATAGGCATCTTCCACTTTTTGCTGTTCAACAATCCTCCTGATGATTTCACCTGTGCTCCTCCTCAGCATCCCTCCGAGGTAGTTGAACATGCAAAGGATCAGGAGGAGATTCTGCAGGCCAGATGGGCCGCCCTGATAGGCCAAAATAGACTTTGTGGGCCAGAGGTTTCCCCACTCGAATTGTGTGACTGTTGTGTTTTTAATAATGATGTATTGTCTTTATGTTAGAAATTGTTTGTCCTTCCCCCCCCCCTTTTTTTTTTGAACTGTGAGCTGCCCTGAGTCCCCCCAGGGAAAAGGGCGGCATACAAATAAAGGGAAAATGAAAATGAAATGAAAATAGCTGTGTTTCTCAACCTTGGCAGCTTGAAGAGGGGTGGACTTCAACTCCCAGGCATGGCTGGCTGGGGAATTCTGGGAGTTGAAGTTTACCCCTCTTCAAGCTGCCAAGGTTGAGAAACACCGCTTTATAGATTCTTGAGATGGGAAACCAGATTGGGTTCATCCTGATTCATCCTGAAGAACGGTTGCAGGGATTGGATATGTCTACTCTATGAAATGGGACCTGGTGGCTCAGGGGCTAAGATGCTGAGCTTGTTGATCAGAAGGTCGGCAGTTCAGCAGTTCGAATCCCTAGTGGCGCGTAACGGAGCGAGCTCTCGTTACTTGTCTCAGCTTCTGCCAACCTAGCAGTTCGAAAGCACGTAAAAAATGCAAGTAGAAAAATAGGAACCACCTTTGGTGGGAAAATAACAGTGCTCCTTGCACCTTTGGCATTTAGTCATGCCGGCCACATGAACATGGAGACATCTTTGGACAGCACTGGCTCTTTGGCTTTGAAACAGAGACGAACACCGCCCCCTAGAGCCGGAACTGACTAGCACGTATGTGAGGGAGAACCTTTACTTTTATCTTACTCTAGTGAAAAGAAAGACTAGGGGGTGGCATGATAACAGTGTTCCAACATTTGAGAATTGACACAAAGAAGAGGGAGGGATGTCAACCTATTTTCCAAAGCATCAAACTGTGAGACAGGAAACAATGGGTGGCAACTAATCAAGGAGAAAATCTGGAACTAGGGAGAAATTTCCTAACACTAAGAACAATTAACCAGTGGATGGGCATGCCTTCAGAGGTTGGGTGCTCCATCACTGGAGGCTTTTGAGAAGAGATTGGACAACCATCTGCCTGGAATGAAAAACAGTCTCCTGCATGAGCAGGGGGTTGGACTAGAAGACCTCCAAGGTCCCTTCCAACTCTATTATTCTGTTCTTCATTGATACTTACATAGCGAAGGAGCATGACTTCATCCAGGGCTGCCTCAGCAAAATTCTCCCCTCCTTTAGGTACCTTCACAGCCACACACCTCTTTTTCCTGAAATAAAACTCATTGCTTAAAACGAGAACAGAATAAAAGATTTTTTTTCTTGGCTTTGGGTTGCTTTGAATGCCATTGGCCGCTGTTTCAGACATCAGCCCACATTTCCTCATCTAGCTGTGGAAGTCCATTGATGAAGCCTGCTTTCAAGGGGCAACCTTTAGAGGTAAATTGGGACGTGATGGTTTCCTTGAAATAATTGAATATTGAAGTGGATAGGTGTTGTAAGGTACAATACAAAGAGGACACATATCTCTTAGCCAAACACAGAGTAGGAAATAGATATGTGGGAGGGGAATAGTGCTAGGCAGGTGTTAGATGCAAATAATCAGGTGCCTTCATTGAATTCAAAATGCAGAAGAGTTCATTATTTCCACCTTTACACAAAAATTGGGTCAAAGCTAAATTGGCCCTAGATGAGGGTCAATGGAATTCATGGAGGGCTGGACTTGGGTCTCTTATGGCAACCCAAGGATTCCAAACTGATGACATGTTTAACTCTGCCCTTCCAGCTCAGCCTGCTTTTCTTACAGCAAGATAGACATCTCACCATGGAGAGGGAGGTATCTATTAAGGATGCCTCTGTTGCAAAAAGGGAAAGTCTCTCAGGTCTGTACTTCCTCTGCTGCTCCCAAGATTTCAGCACCCACTAATATCTGGTTCCCTTAAACCTTTCCCAGCACTGAATCCAGAGGAAAATGCCAGACCCTCTTATTTTAAAGGATTGAGATGTTCTAGGAAAGCAAAGCCTAGGATTCCATTTTCCCTTGTAGCCTGAAACACAATTAGATGAGTTAATTCTATTTTATTATAAGGCCAGGGGTGGGCTGCTGGGAGTTTGCAGGGGTTTGGGAGAACCTCTAGCTAAGATTCTGTGCAGTTTGGAGAACCCCCAAATCCCACTCCTGGCTGGCTCCACCCACCCTGCCCTGTCCCCCCCAGGAATCCTCAGGTGACCCATTTTGGATGCAGGTAAGTGCAGGGGTACACACGGAGGCTCGGGGAGGGTGAAAAATGGGCCTACCGGAAGTTTGGGAAGGCCGTAAATGGGCCTCCGGAGCCTAGGGAAGCCATTCTTGCCCTCCCGGAGACTCAAGGAAAGTTTCTGGAGTCCAGGGAGGGCAACCCCCCCCCAATGCCGTGGTGCAGGAGGCCAACTAGGGTAAGCCCATCATGGCCACACCAACCCAGTAACTGGGCTAAATGTTTGAAGCCCACCCCTGTATAAGGCTACATTAATAGAATCTTGCACATCTGAAAGAACAAATCTCCTGCTTCAGAACCTGGGTAGGGGGTATCCTTCTGAATTTCTTTCTTTGCCCATTATGCAGCTGTGAGCTATGCTGTCTCTTATCTGACTGCACCCCTTCCCTTTTTGTTTTCCAAGGTCATTCTTACATACTATTATATCTACCATATTTTTGGAGTATAAGACGCACCAAGGTTTTAAAGAGGCAAATTTTTTAAAAAAAGGTTTCGCACTCTGCAAACCTCCCAAAAACAGCCCATTTTTCGCAAAAATGGACCCGTTTTTTGCCCAAAAAAGGGCATGGATAGCCTTTAGAAAGCTTATAGAGTGCTCCTGGAGGCGGGGGCAAAATTGAGCAAAAAATGGCCCATGTTTTTCTCCTATCTGCCCTCCCCAGTCCCCAGGAGCTCTCTGAAAGCCTCCTACAAACTATGCACGGCCATTTTGGTGAAAGGGGTGGAGTTTCAGAGGCAAAAAATGCTGTATTCAGTATATAAGACGCACCCAGATTTTCAGCCTCTTTTTGGAGGAAAAATGGTGTGTCTTATGCTCCGAAAAATACAGTAAGTCACTCTTCCAGCCAGTTTAAGAAAGGCATTGCCGAGTTCTTCAGCCTTTCCTCTAGTTCTCAGGTTCCAATGCTGGGTTAAAGTTGCTTCAAATGAAGAGCATAAAGCACTTTCAATCAGATGTCTCTGTGCAATTATTCCATCCTTTCCTGCTAGGTGGATTGTTTTGAGATGAAGGCATAAAAAAGGATGGTTGAAGAAATAGGAAGACATCTATTACGGTGATGGAATGTAGGAAGGAGTGGCTGCATTCCAGAGGGCAAAAAGACAGCAAAGACAGTTTGGTCAGGAGAAAGAGAATTAAGAAGGTTCCTCCCTAGGAATTCTCATAATAATATGTATAGTGATGCAAATAGTTGCTTTAGATGGGCAAGATTCTGTCTGTAGGTGAGGAACAATAAAGGAAACTGCTCTGAAGTAATTCTATGTGTCTTCCTTGGTTCTTGTACCTGACAGTTGCTGACAGAAAACAACATTGCCTGGCCAATCCACACAGTTACTGAGTGAGACAGAACAATTGCATAATAAAAAGGTCTATCTGGAAGCATATTTGATGTGTATTCGGGTCTTTTCCCATGTAAGATTGAGATTGTCTTGGCAACGTTTCGGCGAGGTCTCACACAAACACAAAGCCGAGAACATCAGCCTGAAGAAAAAAAGAAAAAACTTCCTCCCTTTTCCAGCACCTTAAAGCTACAGGACATGAAATTAATTTTGAAGGAACCATGTTA